TATATATATATATATATATATATATATATATATATATATATATATATTTATATATATAAAAATAATAGGGAAGTCCTAGCACCAGATCACAGGGAATAAAACAACTAGGCCAGGTTATTTATTCCCCTGGTGTCCTCCCTGTAAGATCACCTTAGGCTGGCTGTATCCCTTGGCCAAAAGTCAAGGTAGCCCTCTTCATGTGACTTTGTCCTTCCAGGTGTTGGTAACCTCTGCCTTCCCTCAACCCTTCAAGCTGTACTATCCTTTGTAGTTTCTTTAAGCCCTACCACCTTTATAAATTTACCTTTATTAAATTCTCCTTGAGTTATTTTGAGTGTCCTTTGACGTAAAACAGAATGCTACCCTGGTAGTAACTGATGAGATCAAGGAAGGTAAGCAGTTCAGTTTTCACTGTAAGTGCAATGAGACTTCATCAAAGGGTTTCAAGTAGAAGAATTGTCTGTTTTCGAACTCTCAATTTTGATTTCTCTCTTAGCTGCCTGTATAATGTAAATTTTCCAGTAATGTTTTTATCAAGAAAAGAGACAAGGACGTTATGTTTTCTGAACTCTCATATTTTAAGAATATTGTGTTTGTGGTTTTCATTTTTTCTTTTTTTTTTAAGACAGGGTATTGCTCTGTCACCCAGGCTGGAATGCAATGGTGCCATCATGGCTCAATGCAGCCTTGAATTCCAGAGCTCAAATGATTCTCCCACCTCAGCCTCCTGAGTCGCTGGGACTCCAGGCATGTGCCACCATGCTTGGCTAATTTTTAAAATTTTTGTAGAGACAGGGTCTCACTGTGTTGTCCAGGCTGGTCTCAAACTCCTGGGCTCAAGTGATCCTCCTGCTTCAGCCTCCCAAAGTGTTAGAATTACAGGTGTGAGCCACTGGGCCCAGCCTGGTTTGCGTTCTTTTTGAAAATTTTTCCAATGGTCCATAGAATCCTCAATGGTTTTCATTCTTAAGTGACAACTGATTTGGTATAAAAATTCTTGAGTCACAGCTATATCCTCTCAAAAATCTACAGATGCTATTTTAGTATTGTATAATTCAGTGGCAGAAAAGACAGAGGTAAGCTTAATTTTTGCTTCCTTGTAGGTAACACATTTTTCAGGTGTCAATGCTTATAGAATTTACCCCTTTAATCTTATAATTCATATACTCTACTACAATGTAGCTTACTGTGTCTTTTGACAATTTTATTTTCTCCCGAAGGACTTTATAAAAGCTTAAGTTTTCATCAAAGAATACATCAAAGAATAATGTTTTTTGATGACTTCTCTGTTCCACTCTTTTTGGATTTCTTCCACAGGAACACTATGTAAATTCTTAGTAGTCTTTTTTTGGTCTCCTAGATCTAACATCACACTGTCCATTTACAGTTTTGATCTTTTTCCTCTGTGTTCTGTGGCAGCTTCTTGAACCTCTCTTCTGCATTACTGATTTTCTTCAATCAATTCTACTCCTCACTGCTTCAGTGAAGGGCTTAATGTTTGTGTTGCAATTTGTTTCCTGGCAAATTATTTTAACTTGCTCCCCTTATGGCTGACCTAATTGTCTACATAACACATTTAATTGTACTTTTTTTCTTGCCTTTTCTCTCTTTATGACTTTTGGAATTCCAAAAGCATCAGTTTCATCCTGCTGCAGATGCTGAGGTGCTCAAAATCAATTTAGTTCTTGTAGTACATCATTTTCAAAACTACCATCTTCCTTTGCATCTTCAGGATAATTAATACATTCAATAATTATTTTTGCACTCATTATGACACTTGCTGTTGTAGTGAGTGGTTTGGGATATATCAGAGAAAATTCTGGAATGTTAGAATGTTCTGGAAAAACAGAGGGTAAACGGATTGGATGGTGTACTCGCGGAGATTTTGAGAAAGTCATTCAAGAGAACTGTTCACGCAGTGGTTGAGGAGGAAGGGCTTTTCTGGCAGGAGAAACAGCAAGTCCAAGGCCTGGAGCTGATTTGTCTGAGGAACAGCAAAGAGGCTGGTGTGGCTGCAGCACATCAAAGAAGGCAAAGACAAGGGCAAAGTTCAGCAAGGTGACCTGGGGATGCATCACGAGACCCTGTAGGCCACTGAAAGAATTTTGGCTTTCACTCCGAGGAAGATGGGAAGCCATTGAAGAGTTTTGAGCAAAGCAATGGCATAATCTGATTACATTTTGAAAGAATTATTTTCACCATTCTGTTGAGAACAGACTCTGGGGAGAGGGGGAACAGTAGAAGCCTGAGACCAGTTAGAAAGCTACTGCAGTATTCCAGGTGAGAGATGATGGTAGGAAAGGACCAGGTGGTCATGATGTAGGCAGTGCGAACTGGTCAGATTCTAAAGATATTTTAAAGGTAGCACCAGAGGATTTCCTGATGAATTAGAGGTGAGTTGAGAGAGAAATTATGAAGTCAGTATGACTCCACAGTTTTTGGTCTAAGTAATTGGAAGGATTCAGTTGCCATCAACTGAGATGGGGCAGAATGCATGTGGAGGAGGTCTATGAAAGGAGACTGGAATGTGTTTGGGACATGCTAAACTTGAAATAATAAAGACATCAAAAAGAGTACTGGATGACTCCAAATTCAAGGGAAGTCAAGTGGGAGACAACAACTTGAGATTTGTCAGCACGAAGATGTGATTTCGAATGACACAATTAGGTAAGCTTTCTAAGGGGATGTGTATAAAGACTGGACCAAGAGCCTGAATCCTGGACACTCCGATATTAAGACCTGAGGAGAACAGGAGGAACCACCATGAGGGCAAGAAGAAACAAAGCCCTGGAAGCACTTATGAAGGAGAAGAGAGTAATTAACTGCATCAAATGATGCTGCTGCACAGAGATCAGGGCTGACAATGGACCACTGGATCTAGCAATGCAGAGGTCACTGGTCACCTTCCCAAGAGTAAGTCTGGTGGAGTATGGAGGGAAAATCTTGACTGAACTGTTTAGGAGAATAAACAAAAAAACTGGAAATAGCAAGTATACTGAAATCTTTCAAGGACTATTACTATGAAGAGGAGTAAAGATATGGAGTGGAGCCAGGCGTGGTGGCATGCTCCTGTAATGCTAGCTACAAGTGAGACGGAGACAGGAGGAGTGCTTGAGCCCAGGAGTTCAAGGCTGCAATGAGCTATGATTGTGCCACTGTACTCCAGCTTGGGTGACAGAGTGAGACCTTGTCTCAAAAACAAGACAAAAAATTCCCTGTAGCCAGGCATGGTACTTTACTCCTATAATCCCAGCACTTTGGGAGGCCAAAGTGGGAGGACCACTTGAGCCCAGGAGTTCAAGACCAGCCTGGGCAACATAGTGAGAACCCGTCTCTAAAAACAAACAAACAAACAAACAAAAACCCAGAGCCCATGATTTCAGCACCCATGTTATTTCTACTATACTAGTCATATACTATTCTGCCTCTCTAAATTCTGCCACAGGAAAGTATATGTCAGGAAGAGGACAATTATCAAAAATGTATAGCAATGAGGGCTGGTTGCATTGGCTCATGCCTGTAACCCCATTTACTCGGGAGGCTGAGGCAGGAGGATCACTTGGGAGTTCAAGGCTGCAGTGGGCTATGATTGTGCCACTGCACTCCAGCTTACATGCTAGAGCGAGACCTTGCCTCTAAAAAGAAAAGAAAAAAGAAAAAAATGGATGTATAGATGTGTGTATGTATATATCTATAGTGGAATTTGGCAGGGGGCTGGGGGGAAGTGGAGAGAAGAGATGGAGCTTTTTAAAGAAGACAGAGTATGTTGCTGGGAATGATTGGCAGGATGTTCTCTTTTCTGTGTTTTTACAATGTTACTCACAGGTCCATGAGCATCTTCTTAGACATCCTCAGATGAGATCTTGCCCAGTTACTCAAAAAATAGGGTAAGTGCACCACCACTGACTGCTCAGTCTTTGCCTGCTAGTCAGAATCCCTTCTTATACTGACAACTGAAAAGCAGGCCGATAGTCACAGCTCCTCAGCAATTGTTAGTGTGTGATGGGCACACTAAGTATGATTCTGTTGGATTCAGGTAGTATCTGATCTTCCTGCCTGGTTCTCTCATCTGTTGAATGGTGGATTGTAAACACCATCATTCTCAGAGTGCACTTACCAGGCTGCTTCCCATCTCCATTTCTGACTACAGCACTTTATTTGTGGAGACTATCTCAGGGTACAATGTGCCTCCAATGTCATCACCCCTCCCATGCCTTTTTGTAGTATTAAGACAATAAAGGCCTGGTGTGGTGGCTCATACCTGTAATTGTAGCATTTTGGGACACTGAGGCAGAAGGATGGCAGTAGTCTAGGAATTTGAGACCAGCCTGGGTAACATAGTGAGACCCTGTCTATAAAAAAATTAAAAACTTAGCTGGGCATGGTGGTGCATGCCTGTAGTCCCAGCCACTTGGGAGAACTGAGGTGGGAGGATGGCTTGAGCCCAGGAGTTCAAGGCTGCAGTGAGTTGTGATCGCGCCACTGCACTTCAACCTGGGAGACAGAACAAGATCCTGTCTCAAAAACAAAAACAAAAAGACACAGTTTAGTGTGTGGATGGAGGGAGGCTAGAGAGAATGAACATTACTCTGGTTGCCTAAAGCACCAGGCAGCTGAGGGACAGGACCAGGTTTTCTGATTGGGGCATGTAAGTTTACAGACACTTACATGCCTTCCTCTCTTACACACTATTGACTGAGATAAAGACATTGCTATACTAAGTTAAAAATCACTGAGAAATTCCTCTTAGATTTCGTCAGTATCAGGCATAAGTTTTGGTGAAAGAATGCCTTTTCTTTTTCTTATTTTTCCTCCATTGCACTTTATTGGGAAAATAGGATAGATTAAATCAGGGGTGATTATCCAGATGTTATTATTAAATAAGCTATGCTTTGAAGTTAAGGCAACAGGTAACACATATTGAATAAGCCAAAGTGCTTAATTTTTGTTTTCTATGAAATAGTTTATTTCACTGTTCACTATGGAGGGGCTACAAATACATTTCTGATATTAACACAAAGGACTAAACTTTGCCAACACTGGTAGAAATGGTTATGAGGAATCGAGAAGCTAGGGAACAGGGCACATGACATTCACATTTACTCATCTCCCACTATGCATCTCAAAACAAACATCAAAGGCACTTACCAAAGTGATTAAGTAAGGGAGCGTGGAATTTAAAATAATGACAGATACCCAAGACACAAAATAAACGGCTTGAGTTTTCTTACAGTTTGATTTCTAACATTTTACTGACTAAAATCTCTGCTAATTATGTAATCTACTTTGTGGCTTTAAAATATTTGATACTTTGATTTAAGACTACTTTAAATGAAAAGAACCTAATGGAATACCATAAAGCCAGAGTTTTTCCACACCCAGTTACAGCAGAAGAACACCACTATATCCAGGCAAAAGCGAAAGGCTCATGTTGCTTGTCCAGGGAGCACTATGGAATCAGCTCTCACTGATATACTAACATGTGGCATCTTTGTGGCTTCATAGGCACATTCATTCAACACACATTTATCTAGCATCTGCCAAGGTACACAGCACTGTGCTGGGTGCTGGGGAGACATAAACATGGTGTGGTGCTTACTTTCACAAGCTTACATTTATCCCCTGTAACTGGGTTGGTCATGCTTTCTTTTCAGTTCCTACTGATTTGTTCCAAGAAGCTTCATGGAATAAAACAGGAGCCAGAATAAATGCATTTGTGTTCCCATCCCTAATTCTACTTGGTTTCCAGAAAAAGAAGTCAGAATAAGACTAACATCAGAGTATTAAAGAGGACCTAAACTCTACATCAATCTAAGGCATGATGTCATTTGTCTACAACATGGGAAAAAACAAGAAGTAGAGCACCTTTCAGCCCTTAGAATCCAGTGTCTTTCCACTGCTTTGTGGCAATTTCCTGCACAAATATAAGCCCTACACTACATTCTAAAACAAACTTGTAAATGCTTTCAAACTGACTTATGCTCTTACTCTCAACTCACAGAAAAATGGAGTCCAATCACATTTCCATGTGAAAACACAAAATTAGGTTAACAGAACAGTCATCCTTGACATAGTAATACTCTGACAATACAATTAAGGGGACATCTTCTATTGGCATTTGTTCTTGACATGGAAAAACAATTTCTTGCATATTTTCTAATCATAGTGTATATACAGATTACAGAGTCAATGTGGGCAATGATGCTGACAAGGCATCAAGCCTGTTTTAGAGTATACTGGCAATGAGAGATTTCAATTTCTTTATATTATATTCCTGCCTTCTCAGTCTGTACACGTATTATCATTTACAGGATACCCACATACTATACAGAATTGAAAGATGCCAATTTTTGCTATCAAAAGTGCTGAAGTTATAATTTTCTAATACAGAGTACTGAAATGCACAGAAAGACTAAAATAGGCAATCTATAGGAGGGCTAACAAAGTATTTCTATATCTCATGTGTATTAATTACACTTCCTCCATCTTATATAATATTCCATCTTTAATAGTGAACTTTCATCTAATTAAGAAATCCCCCAGTTTATAAAATCTGAGGGCAATTTCCAGTGAACTTTGTCAGGATAGAGGAACCAAACGACCACAGGTATTACTGAGTTATAATAAGAAGGAGTAACTAATTATCAGTATTATAACAACGAAATTGCTGCAAGGCAATAGGCTTCTGTAATTAAACATAAATCACAAGGGTATGGATTCAGGCATGAAAATAGTGACGTGATTTCACTGAGAATCAACTAGTATTTGCAAAGCTACTTGAATTTTTCTGTTGATCTTCACTTGTTGTTAAATAATGATAGTTTTGATGATGGTAAAACTTCATCTTTCAAGTGCAGGATGATCTGAGCTGAATGAGAAAAACAGTAATTAAGGGAGGTAATGAAGGTAGGCCTGGCATCAGTTTGAACAATGTATTTTTTCTTCTGTTTTTGATCATAAGAGGGCTTACATCTCTGAGGTTACCACAATAAAGTCATAACCATGCCAGCCATTTTAAGGATTTCAGGATTAATCAAGACCAAGAAAGATGAAATGACAAACTACAAACCAAGCCATCACTACTACAAAGTTCCATGAGTGATATGTCTGTTACCCATATCCCAGGTAACAATATGTTTAAATTACAAAGACAGTGACATATATATTGTCAAATAAATATTACTTTTACTTATTTAAACTTTAAAAAATTTATAATTTTACTTTTTGTAATTTATTTAAAAGTGGCATACTTTATTAAAAGAAACACTGGAAATATGGATGCTTTTTGAGAAGTAATCGTCATCTTCACTTGTAGATATTATGGAGGAACCGGATTTCTACATCAACTAATGGAAAATTAAAACTTACAAGCCTAGTTCCAATTCAAATAAAGAACATACATACAAATGTTAGGACTGAGTCTGTCCATTCAGTTAAAATATTTCCATTTCTGAATTATTAGCTACTGAAATTCTAAAAATGCTCATTTTTCTGGGTATCTTGTTAAAAGATTTATTAGCAGTTCAGACGCCATTTACATTGACATTTACAAAGAGCATAGAGACCAGAGACAATATGCTATAGTATGTAAGACCTTTATCTCCTCCTTAATGCTCTAAGCAAACTATAAAGTTTAGAAATTCTATTTAGATCTTCTTAGATAACTTGCAGGTGTCTTGAGTGTCTCAGTCTGCTTTCTCTCTTCAAATTTCTTTCCATTCTAAACAACATTTTTTGCCTCCTAGTAATAATCCTGTAGAATTTTAAAAACAGACAAAAAACAAAAAACAAAACACCAAACCCAGATTCTATGCTTTATTCATTTCGCATTAAGATGACCAAAGAAATAAAACTCAAATAAAATAAACATAAAATCATTTTTCCCTATTTAAATACTGGTAATTTCTATTAACCCTATTTTTAATTTAGGGAGTTTTATATTCATATTCTCAAGATATCCAGTGCACAAGTTTCTGCAGAATCACTAATTTTATTATAAAGCTTCTCTCTCCACACCTTAGGGGACAATGTATTTTCACTCTGACTTGTTTAAAAGACGCAAGGAGGTTGGCATATTTTAAAGTTAACACATTTTTTTATTATAAAAACAGGCTTAGGTTAATGGTCACTCTCTAGCATCTGGTTACTGACTGACTGATTATCCTGTATGTATATATATATATATATATACCTAGGTTCCTGACTTTCTACTACTCATTATTGTTGGCTGATGCAAAACTTGATTGTGCAACATACATCTCCTCAAGGATGAACGGGAAATGCAAAGATATAAAATTCAAAGTATTAATAGATGGTTTTGCTACTTTTCATACTTTTGGTAAATGAGATAGTTGGAAGTTAGAGGCTATTAACTAAAATAAAATTAAGGAGTAAGTTACCTGTGAATTTCATTTACTCACATTAGGACTGACTCATCTCTCTTTATTGGAGTTTAACTGAAAACAGACTGGACCATGACTGGCAGCTATATATTGGTCATTTTCAAATACTCCAGTGACACTCTTCAATAACTTTATTATGTCCAGTTTTATGGTGCCATACTATGTTTTTTCACACTGTTTAAAAATTTCCATTTCCATAATCCAAATGCCAAAAAAATTACACATTCTCTTACACAGTCAAAAATATATTTACTGGAATGTTTTTAGTTATAGCTGAAGGCAACATTTACAACATTTAGCTTTTGTTACAACTATAAATATGGAAATTGCTTGCAAAACAACTGTAATATGAAAAGAATGATATTTCTGCAAATATTGACAGAATGGTTATGCATCTCTTTCAGCATATAATTTGGTACTCTACACAGGTTTCCTGACCCCCAGCATGACCCACTCCCTATTGCAATAATGCAAGTCCTTATGCCATTAAATTACTAGTATGAAATATTATCATCAGTGTTTATATACACAAATAATGAACTGGCAAGTATCTAGTTTCAAATTAGATCCTTGAAATATGGAAAAATAGAGGCTAGTTCTCTTTGCCTTAAACATAATTATTAAAAGAACATTTTGTTAGAAGGGGAGAAGATAATTGGACATTCTCCACGTTCCAATTTGAAGTGATACTTGCCTCTTAGTTTCTGGAAAAAGAAGTTTTGAAAGTTATATACACATAGGTTTCATTTAAATTATGCAGCAATCTTTTATTACTGTCCCAGATCTTGTTTAATGAAGATCTCTGTCATCAAATCAAGTACGGTATTTCATGACTATAAGAACTGTAAGAGAAAACATGAAAAAAGCAATATATCAACATCATATATATATGCTATGTTTGAAGCAATATTCCTAAATGTAGTTGTGTCTACTTTTAGAAATGGGTAATGAGGATTGACTGAACTTTTATCTGAGGTAATAAATAATAAATGGGAAAGGAGAAGCAAAAAATATCATAAAACAACCTAAATGTCTAACATTGGCATCTTAAATAAATAATGGCATAGCCATAGCTTGTATCTGCTGTTAAAATATTACTAAAAATTTTGATAACCTGGGAAAATATTCACAATATATTAGAAAGTACATATAATATAGTCTTAGTTTTTTAAAAAAACATGCTTGTATATTAATAGGAAAAGAGAAGTATATATAATAGTTATATTTGTAGTAGTAGCTATCTGTGTTGTAGTTATAGATTATAGTTGAATTTTTCTTTTTGTTTTTAATATTTCACATTTTCCAATTGCCCACCATATATACATGATTAAGTCTTGGTTTTTGAGGTAGTTATTTTCTATAAGGTCACTACATACACGAAATTAGTGAATACTGAACCACTACTGCTAGGGAAGATACAAGGTTAAGTTCCTGTGAGTCTCTGGCTACTAGATTTTTGTCAATCAATACATAACCTTGTTTTATATGTGTTTCTGTTTAAAGACATTTTATTTAATACGTATGATTGATTCAGTAACACTGAGCTCAAGGCCAGAAGCACTATAACTCATGCCTGAACAAAGTTTGCCTACTGTGTATTTTCTCCAGGAAGACACATCACAGCTCGCTTGTACTGAGCAACACTAGAGAGCACTTCAGCACTACACACGGGGGCTGTTTTAAACAGTGAAATCACCAACGAAAAGCACGGCAATGCAGAAAATGTGGTACTAAATAGACTACAAAAAGAACATGTTTATGTTATGAGTGCTGAAATAAAAAGGCAGAAATGGCTTTGTTTAACCTCAGCTAGGGATGTGTGGGTTGGGGGACTTAAATTTTTTGTTACTCTGAACATGTTTGTAAATGACTGTGAAAGCACCATGAGTACTGATTTTGGGGTTACAGATAATTTTACCTGGGTAAGTGGATTTGCAAACACAGAATCTATGAATAATGAGGATTGACTGTATTTCTTTGTAATAAAACATTTTTTTCTGTTTAAAAAAAAACAGCATAATAGAATTTTGCAAATGATTATTTTTAGATACTTTCCAAATCTTCATAAAACCTCTGTAACCACAGGTAGAGAGGCCTTGAAGAAAAAGAGATATTTAAAATGATCTGATTTTCAAAAGAATATTAAGGGAAAAAGGAAGGGAAGGAGTCATGCTTTAATGATAGAAATTATGCTCAACTGCAGAACAAAACAAAAACCAAACAAAAATCATCTGCAGAATGCATTTGGATGTATCCTTTCAAAACAATATTACAAGATGCAAACTGCCATTCCTGAGAGTTAATAATAAGTAGAACATGAGTATTTTAGACCTTAGTAACAGGAACCAGATTTGGCCTGGAACAAATCACTTAGCCCTGGATTTGGGGGTAAGAGTTGGGGGCAGAACAGGAGTTCCCTTTGAGAATCTGATAAAAGATATAGACACTCTATAAAAAGGTACATATACATAGTCACATAAAATTTTACATATTAAGAGCATTTTCAGAGATCTATAGATTCTAAGAGCTCCTGAGACAGGTCAGAAGTCATTACTCAATCCTGACTTCAGACATGCTAGGTCAACTGAAAATAAAAAGGGAATTAAAATGAACTCTAAAACAAATGTTCCCCTAAGAAGTAATAATCCAATAAATACTTACCGATAATCACTAGCAAAAGGATAGCAGCAACCAAAGCCATGATGGCTTTTATCTACAACACACAAAAGGCCATATAAAGATATTAATATTTGACTCATTAATAAAGTCAAGACTATTTGTTGTTATATTTACTGCGTCATACTAAATCATCTCAATAAATAGGCACATTTCTTGAGATGTCTTCAAATTTTTTCCCATATGAATTTGCAGGCTATTTTTCATTCTTTGGGAAACAATCAGAGTTCCCCAAATTTGAGGTGTTTTTCTTTACTGGATTTTGTTGGTCAAAAGCTTACTGCAGAGAAAACAGTAACAATCAAAGCCTTCATGGGCTTGAACCTCTATGATTTGATGCGCTTATTACTAATGTGAGACCAGAGAAAACATACAATATTTTAGCAACTCTGTTCAAGTGTCAAGATATGACGAATAACATAGGCCATGCAATTAAAATGGTTCAATACACATAAAGTAGCAGTTTATAGCAGTTTTTTTCAAAGTAAATGAGAATTCTGTTAGTTTTTTCTCCCCTTACTTTCTTCTTGGCATTTTTATCTCCATTTTGAGGAATATATTTTAGATTATTTATGAATAGCCTCATTTAATAAGCAACTTTGCCTAAGAGCATTCTGTGTCAGTTTTGTAGTTAAGAAACCTTAAGGTCAGTTCTTGGTCAGCTCCTTAATATGTTATAACAAAGTGACCCAGAGAATATATGGAAGATTTGCAATCTGGATACCAGTGCCTATTACAATTATTATGATAACAAAAAAATGTAGAAAGAGAATCAGAAGGGATTGGAGATAGGAGCTGTATTTTTAGTAGGTGTCTGGGTCCACATTATACGATAAACTAAAGTACTTTAATCCATTTTTATTAATCTGAAACATTTCTAAAATAATTTGGAATTTCTACAGTAGTTTTTCAACCTTACCTAAAATGTACATTAATTTGCCGTTAAATGTGTGTTTGGCTTTACTTAAGATTTGAATGAGAACATCAATATCAATTTAAAAACACCTCAATGAATAGTTTTCTTCCTTGGGTTTCTAACACTGGGCAGAAAATGTTTACAATTGCAAATGGCAGTATTGTATTCATGCAAGTCCAAAGCTCATGAACAACAATCTGTATGGCATTAAACATATAAGAGCTTCACAACCCCCCAGATACATTAAAAGAGGTGTTAGCGATTCTCTTTCCCCACCCATGGATAATTTTATTAATTCATTTATTTTTAAAGCCAGGTATATTGAGATACACTTTACACAGAATAAAACTTATCCTCTAAAAGTACTTTTGATAGGTTTTGACAAATATATCCAGCTGTTAATAGGCATGAGCACCATCAAATATAGGACATTTCCACCACCACCCTCAACAAGTTTCCTCATGACCTGTTGTCAGTCTCCAACTGCATCACATTCCCCTTAGCCACTGGAAACTCCTGATCTGTATTCTGCCCTTATATCCTTTTTCTTAAAACCTTTCCGAAATTACTCATTATAGAAGTCAATCTACAAAATGGCAGGCACAGGGAGGCTGCCCCAGATGAACAGTAGCACAATGAAGTATTAATGGGGTACAGTAAAATTGAAGGAAGCTAAGCATTAGAAAATAATAAATGAAGAATACTTGCTACTGTAAATGGTCTTTGTTATGTTATGGAACAATGGTTTTCATTACATGGTCAATGCTATTCATGGTCTCCAGAGGTCCTCAAGGTGATGACTATTTAAAAATATAACTCAATGTTTTTTCCTCCTCAAAAGCACACTATTCCTCTGACCCAAACCCCATAAAGTACAAAGCAAACATTTTTAGAAATGGTTAAAAAAAAAGTTAGGCAAAGTGTTCATTATGACCATCTTTTTTGTGGATACATGAATGGGGTACATGAGTTTGGGGGAGAGAAGGGGTGAATGGTTCATGGACTTTTTGTTTTTCCAAATTAGTCCATAGAATAGAAAATTTCTATAGATATAGAAGCTTTAGGCCAGGTGTGGTGGCTCATGCCTGTAATCCAGCACTTTGGGAGGCTGAGGTGGGCAGATTGTTTGAGGCCAGAAGTTCAAGACCAGCCTGGCCAACACAGTGAAACCCCGTCTCTACTAAAAATACAAAAATCTGCCAGGCGTGGTGGCACATGTCTGTAATCCCAGCTACTCGGGAGGCCAAGGCAGGAGAATTGCTTGAACCTGGGCTACTTGTGAGGTTGAGGCATGAGAATCACTTGAACCTGGGAGGCAGAGGTTGCAGTGAGCCGAGATTGCACCACTGCATTCCAGCTTGGGAGACACATCAAGACTGCCCCCCCCCCCCAAAAAAAAAAGAAAAAGAAAAAGAAAAAGACTTTAAAGAAAATAAATTCATTCTTTAAAGAATAAGTAATTTTGAATAGAAAATTTAAATTCTGAACAAGGGGAGAAATGAAACGGTTTGTTTCTTTCCTCAGTACCACTTCTGAAAGTAGGACGATTCAATAGGTAGACAGATAAAAATAAATAAATCCAAGGTAACTCTTGGAAAAAATCCTTAGCATATGGCTAAGTCAGGTTTAGAAAGTTATTGCTGGCTGGCACAGTAGCTCACGCCTGTAATTTCAGCACTTTGGGAGGTCGAGGCAGGAGGATCACCTGAGGTCAGGAGTTCAAGACCAGCTTAATCAACATGGAGAAACCCCGTCTCTACTAAAAAAAACAAAAAACAACAACAACAAAAAACAAAATTAGCCAGGTGTGGTGGTGCAGGCCTGTTAATCCAAGCTACTCGCGAGGCTAAGGCAGGAGAATCACTTGAACCCTGGAGGTGGAGATTACACTCCAGCCTGGGCAACAAGAGCAAAACTCTATCTCAAAAAAAAAATAAAGAAAGAAAGAAAAGAAAGTTATTGCTAAACTTGAAAATGAGAGACTAAAAACAGTTCTTGTCTAATTTTTAACAAAGCAAAGAATTATACCTAGAATCAGAAAAAAAGGAAAGATTTGCTTATATAACATGAAAAACATTTTCTGTTAATGATTAGTAGCCACAGTTGATTTAAGAAGTAAATGTATTTCTATACAATGTTTTGGAGGAGTATATTAGTATGTAGTGATTCTCAATGTTTTCCTTGTTAAAAATGTTAAAAATTTCCTTTACTTTTTATTTTTCTGGAATAATGAGGGAAGTGGAGGTTTTTCTTAACTCCATTTGCCTTAACAGATTCAGATATGTAAGCTGCTGTTATTTTTTCCCCTTTCAACTAAAAGTCATATTTTTCTCTAGCTCCCACTTTATTTTTTTGATATCTCTATATAATGCTAGAGGTTGCTCCAAAAAAGTACTAACAGTAAATTTCAAGAAAAAAATGTATATTTGTTACAAGTTAATAAGTCTAGAGGTAGCCAAATATTAATAAAACGTTGATTACTCTCATGAAAAAAAATCTATGAAAACATCCTTTTAGGCATACTGATTTTAGTTATCCCTATCCCAAAAGCAATTAAGTTAACAAGTATCTACTGAATTTCTACCATGCCTCAGGACAGTTATAGGCCCTGTTCTCACAGAGGTTATGCTCTAGAGGTCCTTTTTCCTTCATGTGTTTGAATACCACTTCAGATGCTGACCGATCTATCCAGGAGCTTCTGATTTACTTACTTTGCATCCGCGCCACCACATTTGCCTTCGAAGTTGTTTGGATCTGTTGCTAAAAGCTGTTGCATTATCCGATAAGCTTTCTATATCACATAGAGGATGGAGAGAAGGATTAAACGACATAACAGGATTCTTTTATCTAGTCACACAAAGATAAGAAAATATTAATTTCTACTTCTGCAAATTTATTCCCTTTTAAGCATGAAAACAACATTCTCCCTTTTTTCCACCCACAAACTCTGGCATTCTACATTATAAAAAAAACAAAAACAAAAACAAAAAGTAAAAAACAGCTTGCAGATCAGTTTGCTCAATCCTTTTTTTTTTTTTTTGAGAGGGAGTCTCGCGCTGTTGCCCAGGCTGGAGTGCAGTGGCCGGATCTCAGCTCACTGCAAGCTCCGCCTCCTGGGTTTGCGCCATTCTCCTGCCTCAGCCTCCCGAGTAGCTGGGACTACAGGTGCCCGCCACCTCGCCCGGCTAGTTTTTTGTATTTTTTAGTAGAGACGGGGTTTCACTGTGTTAGCCAGGATGGTCTTGATCTCCTGACCTCGTGATCCGCCCGTCTCGGCCTCCCAAAGTGCTGGGATTACAGGCTTGAGCCACTGCGCCCGGCTGCTCAATCCTTTTTTATTATAAAATTAAGAAGTCTTTTTAGGGCCTTAATGCTTATAAATAAGCTTAGGAATTCTAATAAGAAAATACTCTTTAAAAATTCAAACACTTGGCACACCTCTAGAAAAAAAATTACATGTAGAGAAGTTAGCTTTTTAGAAGATATCAAAAGTGACTGATTTTAAAGGAAAACAATATACATTTGAAAAGTGACTAAGCGAGGTTGTCTTTTTTTAAAGTCTGTCAAAGATTAATCAGGTATTCAGCCATTCACCATTCAAACAATATTTGAATGCCAAGTACATGCCAGGTATAGGTATATAGGTTATAGGTGTAATGACTGAAAGTAAAGAAAGGTGACTAAGTTACCCAATGAAACATAAAATAAAAATAGCAGATAAGTTTGAAACAAGTGTTGAAAAGTGAGTAGGTCTTTCGGCCCTGAGATCGTGAGAAATACAAAGTTCATCAACATCAAAGTGCAAAAGAAAAAACAGCTCTACTCTTCACTCTTCAACAATGAAATTTTAAATTCTTCATTCTCCACTGAAAAATTAAAAAATAATGTAACAATAAGATGACTCAAAGTAAAGGAGTTAAAATTAAACCATTAAAATCATACACTTAAGAACCAAATACCAGTTTCCTAAGCCAAGATTTGTAAATGCTGGCTAGATAAGTAGAAGAAAAAAACTAGCAAATAGATTAGTAATATCAAGAAATACATGAAGATCTGTACCTGATTTGTCCTGTAGTTCATCTAGTCTCTCCCCTCTCTCAATTACCTTTGTAATATTTTCTTGCATGACATCAATAACTTCATCCACTTGATTCTGAACACTAGTTTAAAAAAGTTAAACAATTATTTATCCTTCTTTTGAGAATACTTACAATTTTTGAAACTTTCATTAGACATAAAAAGAATAGCAAATTCTCAGAGAATTATTCAACTATTAAATTTAAATTTAGGACTTTATAGCAATGTTTTTCCATTTGTGGGCTTCAGTACTCAGATAATGAAAGACAATATGATATAAAGTAATATTTAAAGATAGCTTACTTTTAGCCCTGCTTCTGACATGCAACCCATAAGCAAGTTAAATGTACTGTCAGCATGCTCATTAAGTGCAGAATTTAAACAGCTTCACTAAAAATAATCAGTTTTTCTTTTCAACAGACTATTGAGGCAGCACAGACACCGCTGCACCCTACTTTTGCTATATATTTCATACATGAAGGCTAACAAAGGAGGTATGTTAACATACTTTTTAACATACCTTTTGCTCAGGTACGGTAAAGGCTTATGAAACATTCCTAGTTTCCAGAATGGAAATGTAGGGCATATTCTAAGAGATACTGATGCTCAATGGGTAGAATTCTTCACTGCTCATCAGATTTTTCTTAAACAGGGTATAAGATAACTGGGGACACCTGGGAATATTTTGAAGAACTCACCAGGAAGCAAAAAGGAAAAAATTGTTTTCTGTTTTTCGATTGTTTGTTCATCCTTTATATTAGATGATGGGGGTCTGTTTTAACCAAATTTCAGGCTGTTCAGTAAAGACTTAACCTAAACTTAAAATTGTAACAACTGTCCTCAGCTATCCGCTCTCATTCAGGAGTTAACTCCAGAGTACACAAACATGGACATGTTTAATTATTTTAAGTGTCTTAGTCTCCTCTGTGGCTCTAACCACAAGACCAAAAGTTATTTTAAATTACTTTATGAAATAAGTCACAACAATGAAATATTTAAAAAGAGAAATAAAGCAAATCCATGGTCCTCACAACTAAACACCTGTTTAAAGTGCATTGGATTACTTACTGCAGACATGTGCTGCATAACATTTTGGTCAATGATAAAGCACATTTACAACAGTGGTCCCGTAAGTTATAATACCATATGTTTACTGCATGTTTTCTACGTTTAGATAAGTTTAGACACACAGATACTTACCATTGTGTTATAATTACCTACAGTATTGAGTGCAGGCACACGCTGTATGGGTTTGTAGCCTAGGAGCTACAGGCCATACCATACAACCTAGGTGTGTAGTAGACTACACCCTGTAGGTTTGTGTAAGTACTCTATGATGTTCACACAATGAAACTGCCTAATGATGCATGTCTCCAAACGTAGCCTGTCATTAAGGGTCCATGACGGTTATAAACATTAAATGTATAAATATTTAAATAAATGAAGATATGCAATTGTGTTTCTAGTTGGAAAAGGAAGAAGTGCGTAGGGGGCTTTAACAATTTTTTACAATACACAGAAATGGTCTCCGCCCTCTACCCCACACAAGTCCCCAAACTAATGTAATAAGTGAGAAGTGAGGCACGGTCATGTTTAATTTTGAAAGAGTTCTATCCTTTCCGATCACTGAGCTAGTTCTTTAAAAAATTTGCTATAAAAACAAAATGAAGGCCCATTTAGACATAGGTGGATTCACAAGTACTCTCAGATTCAAGTAGCAATTACTAAGCTTGATGACAGTAACTTCCATCCCAGGTTAAAAGCATTATGTACACCCACTGATTACCCACACATAAACTTCAAGATTTTTCACAGCATCCCAGAGTTCTGTGCTTCCCACACATTATTCCACTGGAGGATATAAGACTGAAGCTCAACCAAGTTGGGCATGCAGAGTTCTCTTCTGTCCAAACAGATCTGAAAGAACCCCTAAATCTCTAAGACATCTTGTTGCAACTCCCAATCCCCTAAGTAGAGAGTTGAAGGTGTTCATCCTATTTAAGAACAATGGCACAAATACACAACTAATTAATTTCTTCAACAAATAATGAGAACCTACTACGTACTGTTTTAGGTACTGAGGAAATAACATTGAACAAAATAGACAAGTAATCCCAGGCCTTACAGAACATATGTTCGAACGTACATTGAGTGCACTGTATTAACATTATAGCTGTGAAACAGTATGCTCTACCCCATTACTCTATCTTATTTATAGCATGTAAGCAAATATAAAGTGATAGTAATTGTACCTGTTTACTTATTTACATGCTTATTTTCTGCCTCTCCCCACCAGAAGGTAAGCTCAATGAATGCAGTGACCTTGCCTATTTTGTTCACTTTTGTAAGTCCAGTACCTATAGTCGTGCATGGGGCACAGTGGCCATTCAACAAATATTTGCTGAATAAATGAACAATTTGAGTATAAATCCTATAAAACATATCCAGCTACTTGAGGAGGAGATATAAAGCAGTGAGTGTAGAGACCTCCATTTAACTACAAACAAAAGTAAAGCTACTGTTCATCAAGGATCAATTTTGAAATTCCCAGCTAGTTTTTTTTTTCATATGCAAATGATGATAATTAATGGCTTAAAGTAGGGTGCTATGGCAGGACAGGAATGGACAAAATATACTAAGGCTCCTACACACGATCAGACTATAGTTATTATGGATATTAATATACATATACTATATATACTTTTAGACGAGATTGGGTACGTTCAGGGTGGTATGGCCGTAGACATTATATATACTTTTAAAATGAAAACTAAAAGCTAATAAAATAGCTATGGTCCCAGAATCTCTTTAAAGGCCAGGCCTGGTGATTCATGCCTGTAATCTCAACACCTCCGCAAGGCGGATGGATCCCCTGAGCCTGGGAGTTTGAGACCAGACTAGGCAACACAGTGAGCCCCCGTCTTTACAAAAAGATTTAAAAATAAGCTGGTTATGGTGGCATGTGCCTGTGGTCCCAGCCACTTGGGAGGCTGGGGTGGGAGATTTCCTTGAGTCCAGGAGGTTGAGGTGCAGTGAACTGTGACTGCACCACTGCACTTCAGCCTGAGCAACAGAGTGAGACCTGTCTCAAAGGAAAAAAACAAAAACAAAACAAAAAATCCCCCAAAAAACCCTTTAAGGATAACATTCCATGGATATAGGCAGATTAATTGGGACAGACCCATAAAATTCCAGATTCTTACCAGAGTATCATAAACCTACAAGTATTCCCTCAACAACATGGCACACATGTAATAAATCACTATTGATAATGGAAACCCCAAATATTTTAATTTTTCTGCTACATGATTAGTGAATTATTGCTGCTTTGTCCTTCACACATTACTATCTGCTGGTGTAATACTCTGAATCCAGCTACTGCGTAACCTTCACTCAATGATGAAAAATCTCATGACTGTTTTCTGTGTGTCAGGATATTTCCCCACCCAGAACACAATTTTTGTAGAATAAAATGATCTACTTATTTACTTTAATATGGAGATAGTTTGGTTTACAAAGCAAGTGATAACATACTTCCCCATGATCTTTTACATTTTCACAATAGTTATAGTCCTTTGATTTCTATTTGTATTTCACATTGGTCTTGTCCCCATTGTTATACTATAAATGCCTTAAAAACAGAGACTGACCCACTTATCCTTTTATTTCCCAGGTCATGTGAAATGTGGTTGGTACAAGGTAAGCATTTAACAAACATTTTCGAATCTGAGTTAAATATATCATTCATTCAAAAAACATTTATTAAAAAGTTATGGCTAGGTGTGGTGGCTCAGGGCTATAATCCCAGCACTTCAGGAGGCTGAGGCGGGAGGATCGCTTGAGCCCAGGAGTTTGAGACGCCTTGCCAACATGTCAAAACCCTATCTCTACAAAAAATACAAAATTAGCTGAGCATTGTGGTATGTGCCTGCAGTCTCAGTTACTCAGGAAGCTGAGGTGGGAGGATCCTCCTCCGGGAGGTGGAGGTTGCAGTGAGCCAAGATTGTACTATTTGTTTGAGTTCTTTGTAGGTTCTGGATATTAGCCCTTTGTCAGATGAGTAGATTGCAAAAATTTTCTCCCATTCTGTAGGTTGCCTGTTCACTCTGATGGTAGTTTCTTTTGCTGTGCAGAAGCTCTTTAGTTTAATGAGATCCCATTTGTCAATTTTGGCTTTTGCTGCCGTTGCTTTTGGTGTTTTAGACATGAAGTCTTTGCCCATGCCTATGTCCTGAATGGTACTACCTAGGTTTTCCTCTAGGATTTTTATGGTATTAGGTCTAACATTTAAGTCTCTAATCCATCTTGAATTCATTTTCGTATAAGGACTAAGGAAAGGATCCAGTTTCAGCTTTCTACTTATGGCTAGCCAATTTTCCCAGCACCATTTTTAAATAGGGAATCCTTTCCCCATTTCTTGTTTCTCTCAGGTTTGTCAAAGATCAGATGGCTGTAGATGTGTGGTATTATTTCTGAGGACTCTGTTCTGTTCCATTGGTCTATATCTCTGTTTTGGTACCAGTACCATGCTGTTTTGGTTACTGTAGCCTTGTAGTATAGTTTGAAGTCAGGTAGCGTGATGCCTCCAGCTTTGTTCTTTTGACTTAGGATTGTCTTGGAGATGCGGGCTCTTTTTTGGTTCCATATGAACTTTAAAGCAAGCGTTTTCCAATTCTGTGAAGCTCATTGGTAGCTTGATGGGGATGGCATTGAATCTATAAATTACCTTGGGCAGTATGGCCATTTTACGATATTGATTCTTCCTATCCACCAGGCATGGTGTATTCTTCCATTTATTTGTGTCCTCTTTTAATTTACAAGAAAAAAACAAACAACCCCATTAAAAAATTAGAGCCCAAAGAGATGAACAGACATTTCTCAAAAAAGACATTCATACAGCCAACAGACACATGAAAAATGCTCATCATATGGCCATCAGAAATGCAAATCAAAACCACAATGAGATACCATCTCACCAGTTAGAATGGCGATCATTCAAAAGTCTCAAATGCTGCCAGGTGCTGGAGAGGATGTGGAGAAATACAGAACCTTTACACTGTTGGTGGGATTATAAACTGATTCT